ACTGGGAACATGAACAATTCCATTTATGGGAAATAAAAAAATGTGTCACTGTCTGTTACCTAGACAGGATGCTTTGCATTCTGTTAACAAATGGATATAGTTTCTAATCAGACCTTGATTAAAAAAACCACTATTATAATTAATTATAAGTATATAAAAGTAAGGCAAGAAAACACGATTTTATTTATTTTGTCTCTATCACACAATTATTTGTCTTCTCTTTTATCATCTTTGTGTTTCGCCATCATGCACAGAAAGAGTTTGTGCTATTAGTACAAAAAGCTTTAATGCATTTTTGGGGAGGGGGGAAGGGTGTGCCCTGCCTAACTGAAGCTCCTTCCCACAGGCTCTGAGTGGAAGGGCACTTGTGCAGACACAGAGGGAGAGTATGCGCTCAGGTTATCCTTAACAAGAACAACGCCTTCTATCTAAAGTAAACAACTCCCAGTAACAGTCAGTGCAAAGAGCTGCTCCTCACTGGACCACACCTCTGTGTCTGATAATCAAGATTTTTTCGCTAATGACCTAAAATTGTTTTGTTTTTTTTACTGCATCAGTTCATGTTGAACTCTCAGTAATATAAAAGAAGGAAGCAGCTGCACAAAAGCCAAAAGTATCAACCAGTTAAAACGCCCTGACTTAGAATTAATTGCAACCAAGCACAGGGGTAAGTTTTCAAAAGTAGTTCTTAGCAGTGGCAACCACCCGACCTGAAATCCCTTCAGCCCTGGGAAAATGAACCCCTTGATCATGGAAATCTAGAGCTTTGAACATTCCAAAACCAATTTAAAGCTTGGTTGATTACAGGTGGATTTGAAACCATCTTTAGACTATCTCACTTCCTTTATTTACTTCTTACGCTCTCATTTTCCTGTCTTATTTCACACTCCCCTATGCCTAGAATGTCTTCATTCAGTATCCTCTCAGAACACACTTCTTAAGGCCCACAAATGCTAATCCATGTTAATACGCCATTATGACTCCAAGCTACATACGTTTAAAGAAAGCTATACATTACCACCTTGGAGACAGTGGAAAGGGCACTGGACTGGGAATCAACAGATCTGAGTTCTAGTTCCAGCTCTGCCACCGACCTATTTTGGGGCAAGACACTGCCTCTTTCTGTGCCTCAGTTTCCCCTTCTGTGTAATGGTGGTGATTACTCCATAGATTTCAAAGCACTACAGAACTGCTCGGCATTATAGCTGTAGTTTTCTGGGTATCCCTGTGCAGTCTCATTGAACTTTTACCTGTCTCTTTGGGAAAAGGGAGTACGTTTCAAATGCAATTACAGTAGCAAGGATTTATATGTGTGACTCCCAATAGCCTGAATGGATGTCAGCTGACAGTAGCTAGGAACACGGCAGAGGAAAGGACCACTAAGGAAAAGTCATCTGTGGTTAGAGCAAGGAGCTCTAAGGAGTTACTAAGGGTTAGAGCAAGACCCTTGGGTTCTATCCCTGACTCTGCTATCGACTCACTGTTTGACTTTGGGCACACACTTCATCTTTCATTACCATGGTTTACTCACTAATACTAAAGTTTCCCTTCCTCACAGTGGTCTTAAGAGGCTTCATTAATGTTTGTAAACCATTTAGCGACCACTGGAGAAAAGGCTCTATTAAAGTGCAATCAACCCTGTGATGACAGAAGCAGTTCATGTCACTCTCCCGAGACTCATCTAGTCAGCAAAGATGAAGGCCTTGGCTACACTTGCAAGTTACAGCGCTGTAAATCCTCCCCCAGCGCTGTAACTCACTCCCCATCCACACTGGCAGGGCACTTGCAGGGCTGTATCTCCCTGGGTACACCGCTGCAGGTACTCCACCTCCCCGAGAAGCATAAGAGATACAGCGGAGTGGCTACGACTCTCCCCTGTGAGTGTGTACCAGGAATCAACCTGCAGCGCTGTACTGATCACCTAGTCAAGTGGCCAATCCTCTCCATTGTTGTGACCGGCTGCAGGAATGCGGAAGTGCCGGTTTCAAAGCTCGTACTACAGAGAAAAAGCAAACAGTTTGCTGTTTGCTTTGAGTGAGAGAATGAATGAGCAGGGGCCGGGAGTTCGGAACTTGCAAAATAGAGAGCTGACACGCTCCAAAAAGCACTCTCTCTCCCCTCACACTCCCTGTCACACTCCACCACCACCACCCCCGTTTTGAAAAGCACGTTGCAGCCACATGAATGCTGGGATATCTGCCCATAATGCACCACTCCCAACGCAGCTGCAAATGTTGCAAATGTGGCCACGCCACTGCGCTGTCAGCTGTCAGTGTGGACAGACTGCAGCGCTTTCCTTACTCAGCTGTACGAAGACAGGTTTACCTCACAGCGCTGTACAGCTGCAAGTGTAGCCAAGGCCATAGCTGTTGGTGGGCTTCTGAGAAGTAATGTCTACCTCACCTCAACAGAGGGAAGTCTGAAACAATGTGGAGCCTCTGAAGGAAGAGTGAAAAGAGCTGTTTACCAAAGCACCCTGCCACCAAGCACAACCAGCCCAGGGATTAATTGGCACTGCAGGGAGAATAAAATCTGGTTCCCTAGATTAGGGGCTCACTATTCTGGAGGGGTATCATTCTCTAACAAACACTTCTGGCCAACTCAGGGCCTCAGTGGGAGAGAAGAATAAAGTTTCAGTGGGAGGGGGGCACGTTGCTAAATCTCAATTCACATCATTCAAAATGTCCTTCTTGCTCTTACCTTTGGCTATGCTCACCCCACAAGATAAAACACATGTAATAATCTAAAACTCTCCTTGAGGCAGAAATAAAACACTAAGGACTTAATTCTCATTTATATTAAGGCCACTTTACACCATTTGGGCAGCAAAAAGGGGCCCCAAACTGGATATCACTTACATTTTTATAATGTGCACACAACCTGTTAACCAGAGGGCCAAAGCAAAAACTGAGAACTACAAGAATGAGGCAGAAAACGGCCCTATGGGTATGTCTTCACTGCAAAGTTAACTTCGGCAATTGGCACCCAGGTCTGAGCAGCTAGTGTAGTCATTCTGCAAAGCCATACCCAGGTTACTGTGTCCTCACTGGTGCTGACACACCCGTGTGTGTCACCAAATTGTGAAAGAACTTCTCTGTCTTTCTGGGCACATGGCAGGTGGGAAGGTATCAGCACTCAAATGGTTTAACTTGCATTTTCACTGCAAAGCGGATGGGTTACCAACCCAAGTGAAAGCCTCTCTTGGGTTTTAGCTTACAGTCCTAGACAAGCCAGCTATGCTGGGATGAAAGCACTACCAAACTCAGGGAGCATGTGGGTGGACAGAACAAAGTTTGAGGACAATATCTGAGTAAGAGCCTGTGTTAACTCGTCAGTGAAAACAGACCTTACAAGAAGTCAAACTTTAAATGTCTCAACCGGAAACTGAATGACACTCGCAAGTACATCAAAAGGCTTTATATGCAAAAAAACCCACCCATGTAAAATAATGAGGAATATGTTATCCATCATTGCCAGAGACCCAACCTGTTTTAATTCTGATTTACTATTGGCATTCGAGGAGCTTCTATTTAGAGATCTGGGTAGTCACATTGCAATTAATGTCCAAGTCTTTCCATGTTATCAGCAGACAACATGATTTTAAATAGATTAGCATTTTCAATGACCAGTTTTTGCTGCCTTTTGTTTATTGCAGGCAGGCATAGCATATTTTGGTAAAACTGTGTGTTTTATTTCAGTCATCAATACTTTCCTACCTAATATGTTGCAGTGTCATAACTATACAGGAGAAATGTAATCAAAGGAAACATATTAAAACAATTAGGTTTTGACATGGTATCAGCTGACAGAACTGATTCTAAATTATTTATTAAAAAGGGCCAACCTTCATCTTGTTTATATCTATAGTAAACGCAACATAATTCAGGACATTTTCTTGGTGGAAATGCAAAATCACAAGCATCAATTTTCTTCAGATAGTCTTTCTTTTTGTTATAACATTAGCAAGGACATCGTTAATATGACAAACAAATCCTTGTTTCCATGTATTTACAGTGGTCATTTAATAAGACCATAGCAATCAACAGAAATACAACTGTTCAATACATCTCATAAATAGTGTAAAATAGCTAAGCTCACAGTGGAAAGAAAAGTTCTCTTTCCAATTTGCTATCCAAACAATAACAGCCTGAATTTCCTTCCAATAGGAAACCCGTGGAAGAATCAAAGGGTAGGGAGAGAAACACCTTAAGGATCCTGTCACTGAATGAGCTTCAAATTATTTTTTTATTAGCAACAGCCTCCCACACGGATTAGATCCCAAGTGCCGCAAATTTTTTGGGACCTGCTGGAACCATAGGCTATACACATGGAAAAACTCCGATCAACTTCAATGGTACTAGGATTTCACCCAGGGTCTCTCTTTCAACTCCAAGGATTATTCAATTATAAAAAAAAAAAAAAACTAGCATGCTTCAAATTGGACATTTGAAGCATAGGGTTAAAAAAAATAATCAAAATGTGACATCCCACCACAATCGATAAGAGTACCCCACATACTACCTATACAAAGATACATTATTTGGGAATTACTCCTAACACACAGCCTTTTCCTTTTGGTATCCGGAGATTGAGATATTTAACCAATATAAGAGAACTAATATAATACATTTAAAGTTTGTAATAAAATTGAAATGAGAGGGAAATATTCTTAACTCTGCTTGTAACTAAGTTTTAAACATAAAAAAGTATTTGTTTTTCAAACATACCTGTCATTCTAAATAAATAGGTTGAGTTGGTTGGAAAGAGTTCCAAAGAAAAACGATGTTAATTTATTCATTTTATTTCCATTATATACTTGAAACACTAGAGAAAACAGAATAGAACACCTGAACTTTGCAGCATTCCATGCCCACAGTCCCATTAAAGTCAGTGGGAGTTTTGAATGTGAATCAATGACTGGTTCATGCATTAAATGTACATTTTCTTCTGTTCAGTGACTAAAATATTATGTCCATGTTTAAATATTTAATATATTATACCTTTAATTTCTCCAAGGAGTTCACTTGTATTTAGTCTTTCCATTTTCTCCTTCCAGTCTTTAGAAAGTAGTTTTTCCATGCAAGATGAGTCTAATAAAAAGGAAAAAAAAATACTTAATACAACTTTATAGATTAGGAAGTGTCTCCTTTAGCTCTCCAAAACCATCCTACCTGATCTGTCTGAACCAGATTTTCAAAGGGGAATGAACTTGAGGCCAAATGGTCTTTCATCTACTTCAATGTAAACCCTGTGTAACTCCATTGAGGGTAACAGAGTTACTACACATTTACAAGGATCTAAGTGAGAGCAGAACTTGGTTCAGAATATATGCATACCAATTTACATAGATAGATTGCCACTCCATGTACAAATTTTATCTTTTGCATTTGAAAATGATTGCACATTCAAAAATATAGTTGAAGATTTAGATTTTGGAAATTTGGCTCACTGTGTTCATGACAAACATATTTTTTTACTCATGTCAATGCAAAAGTTATTCCTATAATGTCTTCATGGAATTCACAAAAATTCTACATTTCTTATGTTCACAGGATCAGCATTTTTTCCCAGTAAGCTATGCAACAATTAGAAGATTGGCATTTAAGTTCTGACGGTCATATCGCAATCCAAACCTTGAGCCCAATCCAGCTGGCCTTATTCAGGCAAAACTCTCACTGAAGTTACTGCACTGAAGATGTAGTGAGAATCTGGCCTCAACAAGTCCTGCAGGATCAGACCTTACTTTCATTGAAAAATTTAACACGGCGCATAACATAATCCTCAGTTAAATCAAAAGCTCTTTTTAAGTCCCTTAATAGAACTTACAGAACTTAACCTTCCAAAAATAAATTGTAAAAGGTGATTTTAAGACAGGGAATGGGTAACTCATATGATTGGTGTCATGATCTGGAGTCTTCCTCCTCTAACAACATCTATTCAAGGTTTATAAACACTCAGTGAGAGAACTTTATATATCGCTGAATATTTCCCTCTCCCCTTCTCTGTTTATAATGGCAATGGAATCTCCATTAAACTTTGTGGGTCTATTCTCAACAGTGCATATGATTAACTTCCATTACAATTATAGGGCCTGGTCCCAAGAAGCACTTGGCCCCAATTCAGCAAGGTATTTAAGCCTCTAAGTAGTCCCACTGACTTAAATGAAGCTACTTACATGCTTAAAGTTAGACACTTGTTAAGCATCTTGATAAATCGGGACCTTAGTACCTCATGGGAGTGCTCAGCACTCTTAGTTTCCACTGAATTCAATGGGAGATGAGTGGGCTTAGCACCTCAGCACCTATAAACTCACAGACATTAAGGAGAGAAGGGACCATCATGATCATCTAGACTGATCTGCCTATTGCATGCCACAGAACTTCCCCCATTCACTCCTGTGATAGACCCATAACTCTGGTTGAGTTACTGAAGTCCTCAAATCATGATTTAAAGACTTCAAGTTAAAGATCCACCATTTACAATAGTTTATATTAATTTAAACCTACAAGTAACCTGTGCCCCATGCTGCAGAGGAAAGCAAAAAAACCCAGGGTCTCTGCCAATCTGACGTAGGGGAAAAATCCTTCCCATCCCCAAATATGGCCATCAGTTGGACCCTGAGCATGTAGGAAGACCCACCAGCCAGACACCTGGTAAAGAATTCTCTGTAGTAACCCAGAGCCCTCCACATCTAGTGTCCCATCACCAACCGTTGGGGATATTTACTAATAGCACTCACAGATCAGCTACATGCCATTGCAGGCAGTCTCATCATACCATCCCCTCCATAAACTTATCAAGCTCAGTCTTGAAGCCAGCTAGGGTTTTTTTTGCCCCCACTGCTACCCGTGGAAGGCTGTTCCAGATCTTCACTCCTCTGATGATTAGAAACCTTCATCTAATTTCAAGCCTAAACTTGTTGAGGACCAGTTTATATCCATTTGTTCTTATATCCACATTGGCGCGTAACTTAAATAAATCTTCTCCCTCCCTGACATTTATCCCTCTGATGTATTATTTATAAAGAGCAATCTTATCTCCCCTCAGCCTTCATTTGGTTAGGCTAAACAAAACAAAATATTTGAGTCTCCTCTCATAAGATAGGTTTTCCATTCCTCTGATCATCTTAGTATCCCTTCTCTGAACCTGTTACAGTTTGAATTAATCTTCCTTAAACAAGGGAGACCAGAACTGAACACAGTATTCCAGATGAGGTCTCACCAGTGCCTTGTATAATGGTACTAACACTTCCCTGTCTCTGCTGGAAATACCTCGCCTGAGGCATTCTAGGACTGCATTATCCTTTTTCACAACAGCACCACATTGGTGGCTCATAGTCATCCTGTCATCAACTGATACACTTAGGTCGTTCTCCTCCTCTGTCACTTCCAGTTGATACATCCCTAGCTTATAGCAAAAATTCTTGTTGTTAGTCCCTAAATGCATGACCTTGCACTTTGCACTATTAAATTTCATCCCATTTCTATTATTCCAGTTTACAAGGTCACACAGATCATCTTGTATGATATTTTGGTCTTCCTCTGTACGGGCAATTCCTCACAACTTTGTGTCATCTGCAAATTTTATTAGCACACTCCCACTTTCTGTGCCAAGGTGAGTAATAAAAATGTTAAAACAGATTGGTCCCAAGACCGATTCTTGAGGAACTCCACTAGTAACCTCCCTCCAGCTGACCATTCACCTTTCAGTATGACCCTTTGTAGTCTCCCCTTTAGCCAGTCCCTTATCCACCTTTCAATTCTCATATTAATCCCCATCTTCTCCAATTTAACTAATAACTTCTCATGTGGAACTGTATCAAGTGCCTCACTGAAATCTAGGTAGCTTAAATCTACTGCATTTCCTTTGTGTAAAAAATCAGTTATCTTCTCAATGAAGGAGATCAGGTTGGTCTGGCACAATCTATTTTTTGTAAAACCATGTTGTATTTTATCCCAATTACCATTCACCTCTATGTCCTTAGTTACTTTCTCTTTCAAAATTTATTCTTATTACCTCTCTGTATCAGGCCAATAATTGATATTTTATTAATAGAGGCTGTTTTAGGCATAAACAGTACTTTACAAACACATAATAAGGTGCCAATTTCTGACCATATTTACACTAATTCAATCCCACTGATTTACTAAGAGTTATTTGAGTTTAAATGAAGGCAGAATTCGTCTCAAGGTCTCTGCCGTGAATTACTTGCAAATTAAAGGCCAAATCCTGTCTCACATCACCATGCAGGCAGTCCTGCTAGGAGTACTCACACGAGTAAGAAGAGCAGGATTTGTACCTACCTTACAACATAGGGGATAACACTATGCCCCTCTCTCTTAATGTGGTCATAGAGGAGATCAGCATTGGAAGGAATCACAAGAGAGGTGTGTTTTGTGGAGAGGGTTAAAGGAGGAAAAGAAGGTAATCTGTCTGATGAAATTTTTAAGATGCAAAAGTGTTTCACGCTAACATGCATATTAACTTTCCATATGTGAAAAAAGCAGGTTCATGTAAATCAAATTACAACCATCAAAAGATCAAGGTTTTAATTGCAACATGTTTATGCCATGCAAGCCTCCTTCAAAAGACAACATAGCTTGTTAATATTTTTGAAATAGTATTTCAGTAGAAACGCCAATTTATTTACTAATTATCTCTTTCCGTAAAAGACAATTTAAGAAGCTTTAAGTTGCAGAAGACACTGTTAAAATACTTGTTATACAATAAAACAAATTATTCAATTTTAACAATTACAAGCATGCATTACTTTTATGAGTTTTGGCCTAGTAATAGAAGAATCAACAAATAACCATCAATTACAATAGAACATTATAATTTGTCCTTTTTTGTGATATCATCAGTTTAAAAAGATGTCTCTCTCTCTTGCTCTCCTGGCAAAATTTCAGGCCTTCATCCATGCAGAAGAAGAGCCTTTTGACTTTATTTTGATGTTTAATGTAGGTTGAGTGTTAATGACTTTTAACCAGAATGCTTTCTCTCAATTGATACAAAACCACCACAACAACAAAAGCTTAGGATGCAACAAATAACAGAATCAAGAGACAATTAAATAGTCTCATGAGAGCTGAGAAGAAATTCACCCTTGAAGCATGTAGTTGTGCAAACACATGTATGAATATATACAAGCATAGAAACATATTTCTCAAGAGTATGAAGATGAATAAAAGAAGGGTCAGTCTGTATGCCCCTCTCTCTTAATATAATCATGTTAATAGTTGTAGTTTTCTTTTTCTATATAAATGATTGAAAAATATTTGCAAGGAAGTATTTCTTTAAAAGATATTAGACTGCACAGGTATTGCATTTCTCTATACTGAACTTCTATCCAAACAGCTCGTAATTATTTGCTATTACATTTTGTTCTTGGGCAGACTCACAAAGGTTAGGAAAATACAACGGGTAACTTTTAAGAACTGTGAACATATATTGTAATTACAGCTTCTTCTTTTTTTAATTCCAGAAGGTTTTCAACTGGTGGGGGTCGGTTTGCATAATTCTTAATTAAAATTATCATAATATGTTCACCTATCTTACTGGAGATACCTGAAATTGGACATTCACCTATATGGAAGGGGTAACAACCAGCTTACAATGAAAAATATGTTCCTCCCTGAGCCCTTGTACACATATGCTCGCGCAAACAGCCTGAAAAGGATCTATGGTGAGGAAATGCGTTTTTTCCTTTAGTAGTGAAAGCCAATTTCCTTCCATACATATAAAATCTTCAAAGTTGCCTTCCTACATAGGGGAAATTTCTTCAATATTAATAATCCATTTCCTGGCTTAGTTCATTATAGAATTAGGGCCAAACCAGAACACCAGATTCTAAATTCCACTGACGTTGTGGAAGTCTGGACCCAAATCTGGAGGGCAAAACTATTTGGAGAGTAAGTTGAATCAAGGCCCCAACTCAAAAGCATCCCAAAGCCTGGGGAATCTGGACATCTGTGAAGTTTAGGGATGTTTCAGTTCAGGACTATCTATTATAAACTAAGCAAGGAAAGTGAATACGCTTGATAAATGTTCACCTTTGGATTTTGAATTTGTGGCATGGTCCCCGCTCTAG